CTAAATTGTGACAAATGATGTCTAATTTGTCGGTATACAATTTGGTGGCATGCATTAAAATAAAGTATCTAAGGTTGTAAGTATGAATTAAACTTACTTTACTTAAAATTAGTTTGAGATCATATTTCATATGTATATTATTTTGGATCAATAAAGATATACATATGTTAGTTTGATAAGAATAATATATCAAAGTATTGATATATTTAGGGGTTACAATGGTTTAGTTGGAAATCCATTTGAAAAGAAAATAAACGACTTGTGATTTTCTATCCCTACTTTAGAGATTTTCTACTTCGTGATTTTCAACTCCTACTACGAGATTAAAATCTGCATGATTTAATTTTTACTTTTTTTTTTTTTAGATTGAAGTCTAAGTGACTTTCTACTTGTTTTGGAGATTAAAGTCTTAGTGATTTCTACTCCAATATATTATTCGGTGTAAAAATTAAATTCTTCACCGTATATTAGATCTGGTTGTATCAGATATTACTCGGTTTGAAGATTAAAAACTTCACCGTTAAATTGTGGTTGTGTCAGATTGGTTTAAATATTTAAAACTTCACCATTATTAATTCTGACTCTGTCATGGCACAAACAACAGTTTATGTGGTTGGGGTGGTGAGTATGAATCTATTTTAAAGAAATATATTTGGAATATGACATTATTCACCAAACAACTGCCCCTTACTCACCACAATCTAATGGAATTGTGGAAAGAAAGAATAGAATGTTAAAGGAGGTGATGAATGCCTTGTGATAAGTTCTGGTTTACCCCAGAACTTGTGGGGGAAACTATTCTTTCAGCCAACCGAATACTCAATTGAGTTTTCCATAGCAAAATGCTATCCATTCTATATGAAAAATAGAAAAGAAGAAAGCCCAACTTAAAATATTTTAAAGTGTGGGGTGTTTGGCTAAAGTGCAAGTTCCTAAACCAAAAAGGGTAAAGATAGGACCGAAAACTGTTAATTGTATTTTCATAGAATATGCAACCAATAGAAAATATATCGATTTCTGGTTCATAAATCAAAAAATTCCGACATTTATAATAATACAGTTATAGAGCCAGATAATGCTGAATTCTTTGAAAATATATGTCCGTATAAAAGGGAATGTGAGTCGATTGGTGAAGGATTCAAACGACCTCAAGAAGGAACAAAAAAAAGGTATATTCAATAAGGAGGATCCACAACGTAGTAAACGACAAAGAACGTCAACTTCATTGGACCGATTTTGTGACTTTTGTATTGGAAAATGAGCCTCGAGCATTTAAAGAAGTTATGTCTTCTTCTGAATTATTATTTCGGAAAGAGGCGGTCAATAGTGAAATAGAATCCATATTGAACAATCATAATTGGGAACTGGTTGATCTTCCTCCCGGTAACAAACCGTTAGGTTCCAAATGGATTTTTAAAAGGAAAATAAAAGACGATGGCACTATTGACAAGTACAAGGCAAGACTTGTTGTCAAAGGGTATAGACAACGAGAAGGCCTTGACTATTTTAATACATACTCGTCGGTTATGAGTATTACGTATATATGGATGTTAGTAGCATTGGCTACAGTGTATGGTCTTGAAATCTATCACATGGATATTAAGACAACCTTATTAAATTGAGATTTAGAGGAAGAAATTTATATGGAATAATCTGAAGGGTTTGTGGTTCCTGAAGGAAGAAAAAAGGTGTGTCAACTTGTTAAGTCACTTTACAGACTAAAACAAGCACCCAAATAATGACATGCGAGATTTGACCAAATAATATTGTCAAATATTTTTAAAATCAATGAGTGTAAATAAATGTGTTTACGTACTTCAAATCATATAGTCATTATTTGATTAAATGTGGATGATATGTTGATGAAATATTTAAAATATGGAGGTTTTTAGCTTATACATGATAAAAGATAATGTTAGACGTAATGTCTAAATAATATAACTTTTGAACCCCACCAATCCTTAGTGAATATTCCAGAAATGATGTGTTCTTTGTTGAACATTTATAATGTTTAGCTCTTTTATGAAAGGTTGTAACCTGGAAGACTGTGACTTTTCATGAAACGTGCGTTTGCATGTTTTGTATAAACATGACAGTTCATGAACGAATGTATTAATACGTTGGTCTATAATGAGGTGAACCAACTGATAAACATGACCAAAATCCATTGTAAGTTGGATTTATTTCATGAATGAAGGTGCTATAATTTGCATATCATATAGATGTATGAATAAATAGCATACAAATGCTTGAAAATGGCGGAGTGATTGCGAAATATGTTATATATTAAAAGGTTGTAGCCATAACTGATGCCAATCATTCTGGCTGTTATTATAATATACTATTGCTACATTAAGTGTAGTCAATAATCTGATATGCAATAGAAAATCGAGACGTATTAGTCTACGACATAAGAAAGTTTGTATTAAACTGTCATAACAATGAAACAAGTCTTGAGATATTTGAAACATACTCAAAATAAGCTTTGCATTACAATAAGTATCCCGCGATAATGGAGGGGTATAGTGATACAAATTAGATCATTGGTTGAACTGATTCTAAACCATTGGTGGAGGAGCAGTGTCTTGGAAATCGTCCAAACAGACATGCATCGCCTGCTCTACAATGGAGTCTGAGTTCATAGCTTTAGACACGGCCGATGAAGAAGCTGAATGGCTCCGGAATTTCTTGGAAGATATTTCATTTTGGCCCAAATCTTTGGCACCTATATGAATACATTGCGATAGTCAAGCGGCAATAGGAAGGGTTGGGGGCGTTATGTATAACAGAAAATCTCGTCACATACGGCGAAGACATAATACCAAGATCTATGTTCAAGGTGATCAAACAAAGTCATTGATGACTGTCCAACATTGTCAAATAAAATTTTAGTCTATTCTCGTGATGATATAATGTTCAGCACCAAGGATAAAGTGTTAAGACTTTTTGATGGTTTCTAAGTTTGATACGGGGTATATCAACTTGTGTATTTACGGTATAACACGTTTAGGAATCACCTATGTAAGTGTGAAGTGTAAGCCGCTTCAAGGATAATTTTGTAAGGCCAATTCTCTATGCACTTATGAAACCAGGCGGTGTTCATGGCTGAAACGAACACAACAATGAGAACCAAAGATGGTTAAGGGTTGATTATGCGACTTATGGTTGTCTAGGTATACACCAAAGCTCGACGGTTCGAAGATATCAAATCTACCGATTGACCGAGTATATCCGACATATGTTCACTACAGAAATTTCAAAAGAAACCCTACTTATCCAGATGCGATTAATCTTTACTTGCAAATCACACAAGTTTTTTGCATGTTTTTAAATATATTGCCATTCCCCATTCATGTGGGGGATTGTTAGGTTTCGTGAATGAGTGTGAATAGAAAATGGAAGAGGCACCTTTTGAATTGCACCTCTTCATCTCATCCTTTCATTATCTATATATTTAGAGGCTTAATCTCATTTTTCATTGATGGAAAATCTGAAAACTTTCCCCCTTTTTTCTATATTATTACATTATTTTTCCATATAAACAAAGTGTCAAGTGTGATATGCTCTGTTTGTTGAATTCGCTGAAGTTCTGTAATTTCGATTGAAAGTATTACAGAATAGTTTTTTCCGTTCTATCCCGAGAGGAAGTAATCCATAACCTTGGGCAACAGTGAGGGGATTAAATTTCTTAAGGACACACATGCAAGCAACTTGTGGGCTCGAAAATTATTTATATTCTCTTTTATCGAACTAACATTTCTTTTTCTTCTTTTTTTTTTTCTGATTTTCTAGTATCGAACACAATTTACTAACAGTATCTACACAATGGTTGTTTCTTCATACTGAAGTTATTTTCCTCCAATATTATCATTAGTATCTAGTATACACACTTCTTAAATTTACTGAAGTTATAACTTTAATTACTATTAATAAGGATAATTTAGTAAAATAAATCAGTAATGAATGAACTTTTAAGAGGTTTGCCAAATCAATTGGACCAACCGGAAAGATAATATACTGGAGGGAGCCACATCCTTATTTTGTACACTTGCTGACTAGTAGTACATTATTTAGTGGTATTTACTGTTTACATAAGGATAGTTTTCTTTTTCGTTAACGATAGTTTTTAATTACTACGGCACAATTAATTAAGTACTAGCAATATTCTTGGGGCCCATTTGGTCCTAGATTTTGCAAGTTTTTTCCAAAAAAAAAATTGGCAAAACTTATTTGTTTATAGAATTTATCAATGTTTTGGCAGATCTTGAAAATAAAATTTTCAAATTCCAAAACTAGCTCTTGACTTGTTTTTGGCCCAAAATATAACTGTTGAAATTTTTAACAATTTTAAAAATTACCCCAAATTTTTATATTTTATAAAAAGTTCACAATCTATTATGACCCAACTAATCCACCAGCTAATTTCTATAAATTTTTTTTGAACTGATGGATCTTGTCATATTATTACAATTTGACGAATTATAGTATCTAGTAATTGTATTATTAGCCGTTAATATTAAAATATCAAGTTATGATTTTAGGATAGTGTATTATGTAGTTCATTATAAAAATAATAATTTCCAAACTTACTTATGTTCAGGACTATGGTTTGTAATAACGATAATGAATGGCATCAATGAAGGTTCTGCATATACAAGATTAGCAAGTTATTTTTTTGGTTTTGTGGGGTATTTTTGATTATTTTTAGAACTTATCACATTTCATGTATTTTTTTTTTAAAAGTGAAATAAATTTTTAAAAATTATGTCCAAACAGATTTTCATCTCCAAACCAAACTTTCACCCAAATCAATTTTTTAAATAACTTCTTACCAAACATTTTTTTCCCTTCAATTTATTAATTAGCCAACACGACATTACATTCTACATACTCATAGATCTCCTAAACCTTAGCAGCATAACATGAAATCAAAACGCAAGTGGGTAATAATACAATAGCGCCACTGCTAATTAACTGGTTTACAAATTTTCCATCAAGAATCATGGCCATCCACCGCCAAATCCTCCACCAGTTGATCCACCAAGCCCGGTGCCTACTCCTCCACTAAGGCCGCCGCCACTGCCACCGCCCCCACCCATGCCGCCAGCACCAACACCTGCTCTAATACCAGCACCAACCCCAACCCCAACACCACCTTCAACTCCTGCACCAATGGGCCCCACCCCAATACCCAACCTCCCTCCTATTCCAGCTCCAGCTCCCCCACTAATGGATCCTCCTATACCAAGCCCAGTGCCACCTGTTATATAAATAAACAGAATATTAGTAAGTAAAAATAAAGGCTCAATTCGAAGCGTGAAAATTATTTTTCTTTATATCTCCATGTATATAATGTTCGAGAAAAGCACTGACAAGATGCAACAAAACATATTGCCAAAAAAACATTTTCTATTTAGAAACTGAAAATACCAAGAGTGCTTTTATATATAAAGCCTTCAAACTTTTTGTTTTTTTAATTTTTAGAGGCCTTCAAACTGATCAATTTTGCCTTTTGATTTCGACATGCCACTTCATATATATATTATCACAAGTTATTTAAAAACCACCTGCAGTACCATTATCTGCAGCAAATCCACCAATACCATTGTCATCTATCCCGCCTTGGTAATCAGACGTGGTCACATTTGCCGCAACAAGAGAAACATTTTCGTTTGACAATTTCCTGGCACCAACAAAAGCTCCTACTAAGAGGACAGATACAAGTGGTAGAAATTTAGTGAACATTTTCACGAGCAAGAGGTTTAAAATTCAAAAGGGATATTCGAGAGTTTTGTGAGAAGTGAAGGATTGTAGAAGGGATTTTATAGGAAGTTTGCGCCCAAAGAAGAATCCAAAAACCAACCGTTTACTGTATATTATTACCATTCAGTGTAAATGTGTGCATGAATTTTATGTGGACATCTGGAAACCATGCACGTCGAAATACAGTGTTATGATTACAACTTAAAGAACTCTGCAACTGTATTACATGAAAAAGAGAATAGGCTCCTCAGAAACATGATGAACAGTACTTAATTCGGACAGGAGAAGGATTTTGACTCATCAGCCAATAGTACAGACAAAAGTTTTGGATGATCTTATGCTAATTAATAACCTACAGCTAGAATCCCAAATTTCTTTATGATCTTACCCATTGACCGTACAAAATATATTTATATAATTTTCTCATTTAAAAGATAACAAATTTTAAATAACATTAATTGGTAACTTCAAATAAATTCTATATATACAATAATAGTATAAAAACGCATGATCATTATATTGCAGCTAGTGTACTATACACATGGAAAAATATAAATATATATTGCTATCAGTGTAATAAAATTAACCTCTTATAGTAGGTTATGGAGTACCATTTTTTTTTATGTCGCCAATGATACTTGTCATAGAGAATTAACTGTGTTATACTATCTAATAAGTGACTCGATTATATTAATTTTTTTTATACGGCTAGTGTATAAACTTATTGCTTTATATGGTTAAGGAGCTAAACATGCAACAAGTCATGCTCCACTTATCACTACTGGAAAAAGGGTTTAAGTGGCGACAAAATTTGTCACAAAAAGTTTAATTGTCGCCGCAGAATACCTTTCGTGGTGACGACGCGGCGACCAAGCGATCGTTGACCATACTAAATGGCAGATACTTATTGATAGCGACTTATAATGGTCGCCATAAAAGGTCCACCTTTCGTAGCGATATTTGTCGTCACAAAACTTATTTTGGATTGCCACTGGAATTCACTTTAGAGAATCCGTCGCCACTAAATGCTAGCCTTTGGTAGCGACTCATATCGCCTAAGGGTGGTAAGAGGGCCGGTCCAGGCCCGGGACCACGGGCCAAACGGGCCATGACCGTTTGGCCCGGTTTTAGTGGGCTTGGGCCGGTCTCGTGGGCCGGTCCTATGATTTGGGCCCGTCAGGCCCG